GCCGAGGTCGTCGGGCTAAGTGCCCCTCTTCTCGCCCCACTGATTTCGTATCTCATACAGTCTCTCCCTCGTCCCCCTCGATTGTCTTCCCCAACTCATCGCCATCCTCAGGTACTCATTATCCTATTGCACATTATATTTCTTGTGATTCATTTTCGCCCAGTCATAAGTCTTTTTTAGGAGCTGTGACTTCCGCTGTTGAACCTCAGTCGTTCGCTGAGGCGGTTCGTGATAATCATTGGCGCTCGGCCATGCAACATGAAATTCAAGCTCTAGATAATAATCATACCTGGGATGTAGTACCCCTTCCTCCTGGAAAGCATGCCATTGGATGCAAGTGGACTTATAAAATTAAGTATCATTCTGATGGATCTATTGAGCACTATAAAGCGCGCTTGGTTGGTTTGGGAAATAGACAGGTTGAAGGAATTGACTATCAGGAGACTTTTACCCCCGTGGCAAAGATGGTCACAGTTCGTCTTCTTTTGGCTGTAGCCTCGGCTCGACACTGGGAGGTCCATCAGATGGATGTTCATAATGCCTTTTTACACGGCGACTTGTCTGAGGAAGTGTATATGAAGCTTCCTCCTGGTTTTCATTCTCCTTGGCGTGGTGAGGTCTGTCGATTGCGCCGTTCTTTGTATGGTTTGAAGCAAGCTCCTCGTTGTTGGTTCTCCAAGCTTGCTGCTGCTCTTAAGCAATATGGTTTTGCACAGTCTTATTCTGATTATTCTCTGTTTACTTTACATCGTGATTCTGTGCATTTACATGTCTTGGTTTATGTTGATGATCTCATCATTTCTGGGAGCGATCCTGCTGTTATTGCTGCCTTTAAAGAGTACCTGAGTCATTGTTTTCATATGAAAGATTTGGGAGTCCTGAAGTATTTTTTGGGCTTTGAGGTTGCTCGGAACACCTCGGGTATTTTTCTATGCCAGAGAAAATATACTCTTGACATCGTTGCCGAGATCGGCTTACTTGGCTGCAAGCCAGTCGATTTTTCTATGGAGCAGAATCATCAGCTTGCAGCAGCCGAGGGCCCTCTATTCTCCGACCCTGAGAGATATCGTCGGTTAGTGGGCCGTTTGATTTATTTAGCCGTGACGCGTCCAGACTTGTCGTATGCTGTGCACATGCTCTCCCAATTTATGCATCAGCCTCGTCAAGCACACTGGGATGCTGTTATTCGTGTGGTTCGATACTTGAAGGGTACGCCAGGCCAAGGTATTCTTCTTCGCTCTGACTGTGATTTGCAGATTTATGGTTGGCGTGACTCCGATTGGGCGTCTTGTCCTACTACCCGTCGGTCCCTCACCGGTTGGTTCGTTCAGCTTGGCCACTCTCCGATATCGTGGCGTACTAAGAAACAACACACTGTTG